CAGAACGGGTAAGCAATTTTCCTTTCTAATATTTATTGAAGAATGGAGGTGTCCTCCATCACCTGCCTTACTTCAGACTCAGAAACTCCTTGCACCAGCTGGTTGCTGTGTAAGGATCATTTCTACTGTGCTGTTTGGGAGAAATGAAGCTGACTTCTATACAGCTTGTCTAATTTTGTGTGGCGAAAAGCAACAGGAACACTTGCTAATTCTGTTTGTACTGGTTGCTCCCTGCAGCAGGGGCCATCCTGCCTGGCTGGGGAGAGGGTGTTGTTTTGCAGGGTGTTAGCTTCCATCACTTGGGATTTGATATTTTTCGCAAGTGGGTGCAATCTTGATTTATAGTGATGTCCCTTTTTTTTTTTCTTTTTTTTTTTTCCCCCTAAGAATAGAATCTATCTACCAAAAATGTGCAGCTGGTTGGGTAGCTCTTCAGAGTGCTTTCTGTGGAATGAAGGCAGACCAAAATGGCAAAGACATAAATAATTGATTCTGTCCCACTGAAACCCCTGGACTTGTTCCCCAAGCCTGTCTTTCATGTAGATATATTATCTCACTGAGAATTTCTTGTCAAACTATGTTAAGTAAATAAGAGAGGTGAAATATCAGCAACAAAGCTAACAAATGGAGCTGAATGCTCCACTTGAAAGAACAGATCTAGCTGTTTACCATGCTAATCTGAAATGAAATGAAAATGTATGTTTTTCATCTTTTCAGACAACGATCTTCAAATACAGGTAGCTAAGGTCTTTAACAACACAGATTTACTTTTTTTTTTAAGAAAAACCCTATTGTGGAGGTATTTTATGTGTCTGTGTGCCTGGATCAGTGTAGAAACTGAAAAATCTATTATGTTGACAGTCTTAGCAGACTGAACCTTTTATCATAATAAATTTATGGTTTAATTTGCCTTTTTTATGTGTACCCACCTAACTTTCAGATGCTGTGAAGGGGATGCAGCCACTCCCGCACGCACTGAGGTTTATGTTCCCTTTGCCATACTGAATCCCTTCTCATGGCTGCTCCAAGTCTGTTCCAGTCCTCTCCTTGTGGCCCCACTCTGAGCTTCTCATAAATTCTTGGCAGCAACCAAGCCAGCTAGTTATTAGTAGTTAGTTATCAGTAGCATCCCTGTCCCTTCATTGAGTTCCAGTTAGTAATTTTCTGATATTTGAGGAGCCAGGGACTAACTGGGTGTTATTCTCTGCTTCACAGAGATCAAGCTCGATTTGCAGCCTGGTCCCAGCAGCTTTCCGGAGAGAACATCCTCCCCAGACGGGCTGCACGCTGCTAATTACAAGGGAAATCCTGGCAGTGTCAAAGTCGGTGCCAAAACCTCCCTGATTGCAGCGATGCCGGGATCTCACCAGATGTCTGGATTGTTTATCCATCTGGGGGTTTCTTGCCTGGGTTGTTTGCTGGCCGGCCTTGACCTTGCTCGGGAGTCACGGCTCCTCTTCCACCCCCCAGGAGAAGGGCTGTTTCTGACGCAGCTCCGGCCCCCAGCCCCAGCTCTGGCTGACGTATCTTTGGCGTTTTCAGCGTGTTACAGCCAGAGAGGAAGAGAAGTGTCTCATCCGGCTGTGGCTGTCCTTGCCTTTCCGCTCCTGTCACCCAGACCTGGCACTGGGCTCTCCAGCGACCATCTGCCTTCAGCTCTGGAGGGAGCGCTGCTCCGTGGAGCGCCCAGACAGACAGACCTACAGGAAAAGATGGTGTGAGCCTCAAGGAACCTAGTTGTTAAGGAGAGACAGGAATATGCAAGTAATTTAATTTTTCATGCAAAACTCTTCTAGGAACTACTAGACTTTCCAAAATGTATTCCAAAGAAATGCAGAGATAGATTCCCGACCGGCATTAATCAGTGCTGATTAAGTCATGGAGCTACCCAATTTCTGCCTGGTGAGTACTTTTCCTGTCATTGATTTATTGCCTTCCTTAGAAAAATAAGACCTGGGAAATAAAGAGTTCAAGTAAATTTGCTCAGTTACCCAGCCAACTGTTGACTGTGGTACCAGGGATAATAAATGTTCAGGGGAAATTCCTCGTGCACATTCATGCACTGAGGCCAAAAGCTGAGGTGTCCCGTGGGCACTCCAGACCCTCCAGAAGCTGGAGGACACAGTTCAGCTTCAGCAACACATTCAGGGCCTGGGAAGAGCAAGAAGAAGATGGGAGCAGGCTGCCCAAGACCCCTGGACACCTCTGGGGCCACAGCTGATGACAGGTGCCTGCAGACAGCCCAGTGCACCTCCTCCCTCCTTGGAGAAGAGGGAAATGTGCTTTTCCTCAGCCTGCCATGAGAATGCCTGCACTCATGAGTGAGATCCAGTACTTGCTACCAGTATTCCTGTTGGTACCTGGCCACCAGGTGATGTTTCTTTCCTCATATTTATAACAAAACTCAGTGTGTATGAATTCAGGCTTGCAGGCTTGGGCTGTGTGGGGGTTATTGTTTTCCTGCAGACACATGGCATTATGGTTAAGTCACTGGATATGCTAACACCACCATCTGCATTTGTTTTCCAAATGACACCACATTATTTGTTAAATACTCTCTGCCCCATCTTCTTTAAGGTATTTTAAGGAAAATTCTGCAGAGGTGCACACAGGACAATTCTTATCAGCTTTATTTGTTTGACTCACCTGTTTGCCCCCACTCAATTTAGAGCATTTGTTGCATATTTTCATTAACCTGATATGACAAACTACTTTCATAAATGTATGAACTACACAGCATGAAGAGTACAGCTGCAGGAGGCCACCTGCTAGGGACAACATGTGTGACTCTCCAAACAACATAAATGTTTTGATTTTGTGGTATCACTTTTATGACATTACCAGTGGATCTGAGACTTGCAGGAGCTTGTCAGTTGGAGAAGACATTAGATCCTTTAAAGGATGTGTATCACCCATTCCTGAGCACTTACTAACACTCCAGAACAGAATTTAAGACATGGCTAGCAAATCCATCCATTTGCTATAGTAATTTCCTAGGTATAAGAAGGATCTTTGGTTTAATATGATGGAACAAAGTGAGATAGCTCTGCAAGATACAGTTAAATTGCAAGGAAAGGATTTCTTCACACATGGTCTTAAACACTGTCTCCCTTTTGCCTGTCAAAGGCACACAGACCCTTTGTTTCTCATCTTATGACTCAGCTCAGGATGAAAGTCCCTTGGTGAGCTGTAATCATGCTTTCACACAGCCAGAAGAGGAGCACTTAGATCTCTATTACCCAAACTGTGCACACACTGACCATACATTTGCTGTATCAGGTGTTTAATGAAAGCTGCCTTGGTACAAACATGAGCCTATTTGCTTGCCAGTGGCTTCTGTCACCAACCTCATTTAGTGACAATGAACAAGAAATTTTTTTTTTTTCTCTAAACCAGAATATTTACATATTTCAGCCCTGAGGCTCAGCCCACCCCACCCTTTACTCCAGATCTTCGCCTCTGCACCACTGCACTAAATAAATTAACAAGTTATCAACAAGACTGCCAGGCCACTATGGGCTCCCCATTACTGAGGCTGTCATTGCCACTCAGGGCTCTGCTGGAACGTGACAACTTCACAGCAGAAGGTCACTCCCCCCAGTCACTCTCTCACTGCTGCTTGGAGGCAACTTTTCTGAGAAATGATTTGTTATGGTAGAATCAGAGGCACATTTGTTAGTTAATTCATTCTGTAAAACTCAAATGAGATGAAAAACAAGCATAGATCTGACAAATGGCATTTAATTATGTCTGAGCCTAAAATTCATAATACATATTTATGCTGCCCTAAGTCATTTGCAGCCAAGGTCCCTTTTATTCTCATAACTGAGTCCATTTGCTGATATGGGAAGAGGGTGTTGGTGATGGATTACTCCATGTCTGTCCTTTCACTACTTTGTGCCATCCCCTGCTCTTAACAGGCCATGGGCTTTCCCCAAGTTTACAGTGCAACAGTTCTCTGGGTCTTATTATTCCATAGCCTCTGCAAGTAATCCAAAGAACTTATAGGTGCCAAATAATTTTATCTTGAAAGATGAAAATTTCTAGTTTCTAATTTTTTTGACCACATCTTGTCTTTGACTTCTTTATAGGTGTTTGTTTGAAGCTTTGGGTCTTGGAAGACACCAGGACTAGGACTGCACTAGGAGTATATCCCTGTCCCTACAACCTGCCACTGTCAGGAAAAGCTGTTTACTGCAGTGGAGGTGGAGCTGCCTCTACAGTGATACGAGGATATAGGGTTAGCACAAGGCAAGTAAAAACACGTTGCACTGATGGTGCAGAGGTTTGAGAGAATGTGCAAAGCACAGGCTCCTGGGAAATGGACACTGGCACATGTGGCTCGTTAGCACACTGAAGCTCTGACCTAGCAAATATTTACATGCACTGAAGTGCACATTTGAAAGGGCTAAATATACACCTGCTCCCCGCTTCAGCTGCCAGACATCTCTAGACTCTGCATTTAGTGCAAATGTCTTTGACTCAAAAACATATGCTGCAGTTTTGCTGAAGATGTAGGTGTATTTTTATAATGGTTTGGTGCTGTTATTGTAAAAGTAAGCCTTTTTTTTTTTAATCCTTCTCTCAACATGTCATAGAGTATCCAACCAGCATTCTGAGCAGTGTTTCACTGGGGAGATTTAGGAGAATTTTGGTCCTCTCCCCCTCTCCTGCTTCCTTTCCTCTCTGCAGGTACATTGGAAATACTGCCCATGACCAGGAGGTCAGCAAGAGGCTCCTCCTTCCCTCCATGAGCTCCCACTCCAGCCTGAGCATCCCTGCCTGTGGACCACCTCCACCATGAGACAGCAACCCCAAAGAGCTTCACCTGCTCTCCTGAACAGGACTCTGTGGACAATGGGCCCTGGCATCTCAGGAAGAAGTGATTTCACAGCTCCTGCCTGGCTGCCATGCCAGCCCTGCCTCTCCTGCCTGGGACTGCCAGCCTGGGGAGAACTTTTCACCCTCACTGACATCACTGCTCTGCTGAGCCACTGCAGGCACCACCTCCTCCCCTTCCCTCTCTTGGCACACTGCCACCCAAACCCACTGGGGAGCTTCAGGGGTTTTTTGTTCTCTGGTGGGAAATTTCATTTGACCCTTTCAAGTGGGACAAGAACAGATATTAGATTTGTTGATGATGAAGTGCTTTTATCTGAATTCAACAAAAGAGCTACAATGAAAAGATTGCAGCTGTTGAGCAAAAGCACCGCACCTATTACAGAGTTCACGTGCATTTACAAGTGGCACATCAGTGAAGGCTCTCCTCACCCTTGCAGATGTACCCTCCTTCCACAGAAAACTTGTTAATCTCTCTCTCAGCTCTGCCTTCCCTGCATACCCTTGGGAAAACATGGTGTTTGACTGTCTTGCCAGATCTTGCAATGACAGAACTGCTATTAGCAGGTAAAAACTACATGAAGGTGTTTTATCTTTCTCTAAGTCTTATAGCTCTCCTTGATGCAGGATGGGACAGCAAGTTAGAACACCAGATACTTCAGGTTGTAATTAAATTATAAGACCACAATTGCCCTAGTGAACAGGCATTACTTTATGCACATATTTAGAAAGATAGATAAACAGGTAGACAGAAAAAATGAAAAAGAAGATCATGGATGGATAGATAGGTGGATAGATTTCAGTCAGAAATAGAATTAGATTTGCACTTATTTTCCTGTGTGATAAAGCCACATAGCTAATAAAAAAGTATTTTCTAAAATTTAAGGTTAAAAATCAACTCTGTCAAGAAGCAAGGAACCGAGACTTGGCAATGGAAACTGAAAGGAACCCCAAATCCCACATAACTGTTACCTGACACCCTACAGCAACTGCACATGATAGTAATGGCAATAGGGCATCTATTAACTAGAGAAAACCCTGGTGAAATTTGTGGGCATGCAGTCAGCCAATCCAGCAAAACCAGAAAGTGTTAGCCCTCATGGCAGTGTACCAAGCACAGGGGAGCATGATTGGAAAGGACCAGCAAATGCTCTGCAAGCTCACCAAGGTGGCCCAGGCACTGGGTCAAGAGTGTGAGCTAAGAGCTAAAGAGAGCATGACCATCCCTGAATCCCTGCCCTGTGGCAGTGCCCAGCACAGCTGGTGAGTGCCAGAGCCCCACAAGGAGCTTCAGCTGCTGCCAGCTGGACTTAGAGACACGCTGAGAGCCCAGTCCTGCTGGAGCACAGTTTGTGTTGGCTTCCCTCTCCCCATGGCCCTCACTCAGGAGATGGAGCAGGCACCAGGCAAGCTCCACACGCTTCATGGCACTGGGTATCTGCAGAGAAACCTGCAGCTCCTGGGCAGAGGGAGCTTCCCTGGCTCCTTTTTGAAGCCTTGCACTCATTTACAATATCATAATTACACTGGACAAACAACAACCATTAGGATTAACTAGTAATTTACTCCTAGCACCTTGTCCCTTTGAAAACTCTCACAAACTCAATTTACATCCTTACATATTCAAGCAACAGATTTCTACTTAGAATAAACCATAGTTTCTAACTTCTAAGCAAAAAGAACACGTGCATTACTTGATTTAGGATTTTTTTGCTAATCCTAGATTAACTTCAAGATCTTGAGAGTGTTACAAAATACAGATGAAGAGTGCAGAGCTCACCATCTAGGTGCAAAGCCACAGGTCCCCTGCCCCCAGGACATTGGAGATGCCTTTCTCACCTCTCTGGATTCCAAGTGCAGAGCTCCAGGTGCACCATTGTGGCTGTGAGTCTGAGGTTCAGAGCACTTCTGTGGACAAACGGTGTCATTCAGCAAAGCCCGCAGCAAAACCGTGGAAATTCTTCATTGACTTCTGCACAATCCAGCATTTGCTTTGCACTGATGAATGAAGTAAATGTTCAGCTGATTACTTCATGCAGCTTCTACTCCCAATATGAAACCATTGCTTCATTCTCTATTCCTGTGCCCTTACCAAATAGTAGTACATTATTTTATGGGATAACCTAATTTTCCTTCCCTTCTTCCGGTGCCTTTCTAAGGCAGACCTGGAGTTGGAAGAAAAAAACCCAATGAGCTAGGCCTTGTTAGAGCAATAAGGGATTTTAGGCTCCTTCCTCATCCCAAGTGGCTTTGGCCATTTCCTTTTATTCTTTAACATTGTTTGCATTATTTACACAGCTGCTCCACTAACTTTTTCTTGTTACGTGTTTATTTATTTCTTCCAATTTTCTTTTTTTTTAATTTTAAGTTTTTCTCTTTAGGTTTTAAAACAACATCAATTTATTTTTACCACTCCAAAAAATTATTTGCTTGTAATTAAACCCTCACATCTAATAGTGCCTAAATGTAAGAGTGACCTGTGTTTATGAGGGGAACACAGGGGAAGGTTTTGAAAGCTGAACCACATCATTTCACGATCCATAATCAGTTTTTAGGGGTTTTCCATTATAATTATTTCAAGGACCAGGTGTCCAAAAAGGTATCATTTTTCTCACCAGCTTGTGCTAGATGTTTTAAAAAAGGTATTAATGCAGCTGTACAGGTTATAGCTGGGTGTGTGACTGCCCGCTGGATTTACACGCACAATTACCCCAAAAGCACACAACCCTCTGAGACTCACACATGCAAAAATCCTCTTGGCTGGAAAACTCTTGGCATGGATGCTCCATTTCCATATGCAGTCACACTGAATATGCACATACATTAGGTGCAGGAGCACACACGCATTTTTCAAACTGGGGGCCTTGGTGTGAACCTAAAGAAGAAAAGACAAATGCTGCGAAAAAGGGGCTTAGGTCAAATTCAGTGAGCAAGGATGAATCTGCTGGGTTGTACTTGTGTTTTGTATCAGTGCAGATCATTTTCTGCAATTAAATATGCAAAAAAAGGTGGATTTTTAGGTTTTTTTCCTTTGTGCCTTTACATCCTTTGAAAATTTATAATGTTTAATTTTCCCTTTCTGATTCTAACAGATGAAAACCAGCCTGATGTAAATTTTTGTCCAAAAGAGACAACTCAATGAAAAAAAAAAAGTGCTTCTGAATATTAACATGTTTGAAAATCAGGCAACCAAAGACTGTAAACATAGACATAGGTGTCTGAATTTAGGCACCTATTTTTTAAAACCTTGGCTTTGAAAATAAAGTATCTGAATGTATATAGGAAATATAAATCACCAGTCACTTTTATTACATGTATGTTTATATAAAGACCTTAGAACACATTTTTAAAATGTAAACGTTCCTTACTATGTTTAACTATGTGTCTAAAGAAGATGTAGGACAGAAAGAAAACAAAATTTGACGAATGTTTCTGATCAATCCCAAAGAAATCAATAGGAATTTGCTCACAGCATGATTTCATTTAAGTTTCCATGCTAGGAACAGTAACCTGGCTTTCTGTTAAAGCAAAAGCAATCGTACTTCTTAGCAATTTAATTCTCATGTCAACATGTATCAGGCAGGCAGAGAATGGTTTGGAGACTGGGAGGGGAAGCAGGAATGGATGGAAACACATGGAAATTGTGTGGACTGAGCTGTATGGTCGGGTGACTTCATTTCACCAAAACTAGTTTTTAATAGAAAACGGAGTTTTCATTGAGATGCATATTTCCTCTCCCCTTTGAGGGAGCAGAAACTGTTTGTTTCTCCAACTATCCTTTAATGTTTGTTTGAAAAATATGTAACACCTGAGAATAGGAACAGCTTGGTAGGGAAAAGAGAGAAAAGCCATTGAATCCTGACCACTGCATCAGTTCCTTGGTGGGAGCCACAGCCTGGGTGCCTGGGGTGTCTCCCATCCCTGCAGCCACACACCCCACAACCTGCAGGAGTTTGGTATCTCATCATGCACACTCTTAGTGTGCCACTGGAACACAAAAAGAAGAAGGGACAAGCCCAGACAAGAGAATGAAGACATGCAACCACAGCTCTTGTGAATGAACTTGTTTTTTTTTTTGCCAAAAGGATAAGTATTTTTGGCTCAAACTCAAATATCATAACAAAGAATTTTGTTTTGGAAATGTCATCAGGTTGGCTTTTTTTCCAAAAACCAGATTTGAGTGAAGAAAGCCCCTGCTTTCCACCTTCCCAAGCAAGGCAAAACTGTTGGCACTCCAAGTTCCTATATTGAAGTTGCTTCTACTCCCTTAGCAGACCAGAACCTTGCATGGTGTATGGAAACCAATGGAGCATTCAAACCTAGAGAACATCTGGTTTACAATATTTTCTTCTTGCTTTTTCATGGTTGTGTTCCTGGAAGCACATTTGGGTCCACAAGTGTGGGTGTGCACGTATGTCTGTTCTTATTTATTCTAAATATAAACTGTTTTCTGAAAGGGCATTATTCATAGACAGATGAAAGAGCACTGTCCTTCTTAGAAGTCTGAAAACCTGAAGTTGACACTGGGTGCCATATTGGACTAAAGCAAAGTGTGGAAAGAGTGTTCTCCAAATTCTGAGAGAGTCCTGGTTGGAAAGTTATGGGTAATAAAAAAGATCCCAGCTTTGCTGCTTCATTGAATTCCCAGTTATACATAAAGCAGATGTCATCTTTGCAAAATGCAACGTGTAGGCAAAGAAACTCTATCAGCCAGTGACATCTGAGAGTGACATTGCTTTGAAATGCACCTTTCTATCTGTGTACACACAAAATTATGTGTGCTCACATACACACAGTCTATATGGCTTAAACACAATGATTTATTATGATTTTTTCCATCAGAAGCCAGATTTGACTGACCATAGAATTCATACAAAAAAAAAAAAGACAAAAGAAATGTTTTATTTCAGGCTGAGCTGATGAGTGAGTCTGCAAACGAAAACACCACAAAATCCAGTTTCAGCCCAACAATCTAAAGAGGCTCTATTATTATGATCTTTATTTTCATTATTTTGTGGGCAAGGTATGAAGCAAAATAGCTGTGTCTGTTTAGCTGCCTGAACAATAGAAAAGTTTATGCAGCTCCTGAGCTGAAATGTTTTTGACAGTTTTCAATTTTAGTTCTTTTGATTTGGTAAGAAATCTGCAAAAATATGATTTTGAAAATCACCAGTTTCATGCTTTATTCCTTTCTCAAAATTAGACTATATTGTCCAACTCCTCTTCACTTTCTGTGTCTGAGGGAATCCTAGAAAATAGCTGGGAAGAATCAGTGCTGGGCTGTTGCTTAGAAACTGCCTGGGTTTCTATAATATTGCCTGATGTAATAGTTATATTGCCCACTAGCATCTGTTAACAAGCAATACAACAGAATCCACAGGTACCAATAAAGAAACAAACCTGGAATTCATTACTTTCCTTGAAAATTCATCAGTGCTTTTTCTAGCTTGGCAAAGTGTTTTTCTCAGGTGCTAATTAATAAAATAGGAGATGTACTGCCTCTACATATATCTATTTTATTTAGATTTATTTATTTTGCCCCAGGGAAAAGATGTTGTTAAGAATGTAGTGTGTTAGTATAATTATAATTTTGCAATGCCATAGAAAGGTATGAGGTATGAGCTGTGGTTCTGTGGGATTTTCTTAGCTGAGAGGTGTAGTGGGGCAATATGACCATTTTCTTAATGTGTTTTAAAGAGAAGTAATATGTGTGCCTTTGTCAAATCAGTAGGACAGGACATTTCTGATGAGTGCTATTAGTAGACTCTCAGCAAAGCCCAAGCAACAAATGAACTGCCTTACCTTAGTAGTGTCAGCATTCCCAGATGATCTAGGGGTGTAAAAATAGCAGATGCAAAGATGGCAGCAATGGGATGGACTCCACAACCACTCACGTGAAAATGATGTACTTCTATATTTAAAAAAATTAAAAATCAACATTTAATGTACAACAGTGAAAGTTTCTCTCTTAAGAACAAGGACTACAATTTTTCCAACAAAAGCCAAGATGCAAGCTCACATAATTGCTGATGCTGGGTATGAGGAAAGCACCTGAAAGTTAAGTGAACAGGCAACACTTCCTCAGCCCAAGCCCCAGCACCTCATTCCTCACCTGAGTGTGACCCAAAGCCCAGCACAGCTGCTGGATACACACCTGTTCAGTGCTCTGAAAAGTCCTATGGCCCTGCCAAATAAGAGCTGTTTTTCACTTGTGTACACTGTCCTTAGAACACACACTTGCTCCTCACGTGGGAGCTCCACGCTGCCGTGGGTACAGCTCCTTTTGGAGGCTCCTGACTCAAGAGCTTTTACAAGCCCACCCCCAGCAACTGGCTTCCTGCATTTAGAGGAGATATAATAAAATGATTGCAGCCCAACCCTCAGTTATTAAATGTGGGGGAAAGCACAGGAAGAGTTGTAGAGGAGAGGAGACTCCGTGACTGTTACTTTTGGTAAGTAAATCTTACTCACGGGAGCGCGGCTACTGCTTAGATGGATTACATTTGGCTCTATCTGGGGGCCTAGATTTGTGAGGGAAAACAGTTTAAACTCCTGGTTTGCTGTTCCACTTGTTCTCAGCAGGCAGAGGAATTGTGTTGGAGTAGAGCAAAAGCTGAGGTTGTTCAGCGACAACAAACGCGGGGGTGGATGCTCATCGCCAGGCGTGGGGATTTGGGAATGCAACTCACATAAGTGTTAATGGGAGCTACACGCGTAAATCCCTGCCCTTCAACATGATAATACATAATATACCCCTTAATTTTTAATTCACCAGGGTCTCAATTTTAAAGCATTTTCATATAGTTTGTCCTAATTATAATCATTTTTAATGACAGCTTAAAAATTTCACATGACTGTCTTATCACATACGGTACTTAATTTCTCAAGTGAACAGTTTCCATGTGGTGTATTCTGGGAATTTTGAGAACTAAAACACTAAGGAAAAAGCTGCTTTGTATAATCAAATGAGATGTTATTATTCCACTATGTTTTATATACACTGGAACAGAGTGTCTCACAGTAATGGTGACCATTTTGAAAAGTACTTAAAACTGAGACAATTTTTTGGTTTGGAACATTATTGGCTTAATCTCAATCTCATGGACCAGGGCTTCTGGTCTACTTCTCATGGCCAGTATTAATGTAAATTAGTAGGTAATTATTAGTTAGTTCAGGCTTTGGGGAGGTTTCAGCCTATAAGTAATTTTTCATTTCCTCTAGGACTTGATAAACTCTGAATATACAACTACAACATCACTATTTTCATATTAATATATCATCAGGATATTAGCATTATATGTTGTTATCTCATTCTATGATAATATACCTATATATTATTATATTATTATATATAGTAGATAATGTATGTATTTGTAATATATTAGTAATTAATTATATTTATTATAATTATAATTATTATATTGAAGTAATAACTCTCACATTGAATTGGAAGGACAAATGGCCAAGTTTAGAGTACAGCCACACACCCCACATCAGGTGTTGGCCTTGCCTTCAGCATCTCAATGAGCAGGTAAACCAGAAATTAATGGAGTAGCTGTCCTGCATCCCACAGGATACACAGAGGACCATGTGCCATGAGCCCAGCATCCAGAAACATGCCAAGGATCTGCCTCACCATTCCATGGTGCACAAAGCATCCCTGTACCACCCTACTGGAACCCAACCACAACAGCCACAGCCACAGAATTACACCACCAACTGCTGCATGTGCCATTTGCAGCATTTCCCTGCTCTTCAGCCAGGCCTTTTGAGTTCTCTTATTTCAGTTTCTTCAACTAATGGTTTTCTAGTTTGCCTTCATGTTGACTAAACCAAGTCCTGTTTTATTTTTAGCTCTTTGCTTTCAGAGGGAGCAATATATTTTTTACTACTTACAGGTATAGAAAGGGCCACTGCCAGAAAATACATGATGAAATAGCAGGCAAAGCTTTCAAAACCCACCTATGTGACTTAAAAACATAAGTGCTATTTTCAAGAATGATGGAGGGCTTAAACACCAAGTACCATCTTTAGTAATAAATTTTAAAAAGTAATTACCTACCTATAGAGAGCACCTATGACTAAAAGAAAAATTCTCTACAATTAGCATTAGTAATTAATAATATTTTAAATGTTTGATTTCAGCTGTGCTCAAGGAGTCATTTGTTTAGTCATGGGAGAAAACACTCCTGTATGCCCTGAGGTTACTAGATTTCTTTGAACATTTTCAATTCTGAACAATTTTGGAGTGCAAATAAGACTTGGACTTTTGTCATGAGACTATTCTTGAAAGATTTGCCTGAAAACAAACTTTGTCCTGCAGTTAAATTTTGGATATGTCTACCTTGCTTTCCATTAGGAAAGAAAGGAAGTGGACTTTATCTGAAACCACACAAAAATGTTGGACTGCACTAGAATGTCTACGTCCATGTTTTATATATATCCTCTAATTACTGAACAACCATGACTATAGAGGGGAAATAACTTGCCAAATTAGTAGCCTTCAAACTGTCTCTTTTTATAAAGAGTAAATGATAAAAAGAAATGTAGCACTCATTTGTTAGTCATTTTTATGGGTAGCTTTAATCCGTTTTGTGCATAGACTCCAGTTGTTGGTATTGTTTCCACTAAAAGAAAAATAATTTGGCTGCCGCTGCAACATTTTAAGCTTTCACTGTTACTATAAAAACAATCCCCAGGAGATTTTTTTTTTTTAGTCTCCTTGTATTGCTGGTTTGCAAGGACTTAGGAAGTAAAAGTTTAAAACGGCCTGGTAACAGACAAATCACTTTTAAAAGCCAGCATTGTACTGGCCTGGGAGTGTTACAGGAAAAGCTACTTTAAAAAAAAAAAAAAAAAAAAATAGAAAATGCAACAGTACAAAAGCTAAGCAAGCCTAATTATTTTTTAAACAAATATATGGAGGTCATCTAAACTATGAATGCATGAGAGGCCTTTTCCTACATGTGAATTGTCAGATCCATGCTGGATAGGCATCCAGGCAGAGCTGGGCTTTGTAATGCTGCTCCCAGTAGGAAGGCATCTCAGCGTTTGAGTAATGTACTTTAAAACAACAACGTACTTTTTCTGAACGCATTAAGGGTGAAGTTTTCAAACTGGGGTACCTAAAGATAGATCTGTCTTGTGACAGCACAGAGCTATCTCTGGTCAAGAGTTTTGGTGTAGCCTGGGGCTTTTTGGGTAGGTGTGTTAAATAACAGATTTTCAGCGACTGCAGCTAAAACTTTGTGATTTTCTAATTTTGGTGGAGAGGTTTGTCTGTAATGAAAGTGCTGCCTGAGGTCTTCAAAATATTTCAAATAAATAGACAAGGCTTTTCAGTGGAGTACAAGAAAGAGAGGAACGAAAGTCCCACTGGGATTTAAAGAGATTTGGGTGTTCAGCTCCTACAAACTCCCTCGAAAATCCCAGTTCTCTTTCATAAATGACGGCTGAATCTCGACAGATTTGGTGGTTCATTTTGGCTCATTGTCTGCATCCGCTCAGGCTGGAAGCTGGCCCGGGAATTTCGTTAGACCATGAGAAGTTTCCAGGAGAGTTTTCAGCTCTTGGTTCCCAGGTATCTGAGGCTCTGCCACTTCCACTTCCCCCAGCCAGAAAACGCAGAGACGTGCAACCGTTTGCAAAAAAGTCTGCCCAAACCCTTTCTGAATCAAAGGAATATTCATGTTCTGGATCAAAGACTGGGGGAAGGATTTGACTAGCTCCTGCATTCTCTGTCCTGTGCTGCCAATGTCTGGTCCTAAATTATATCCATTGGCCAATGCAGAACACCTTATTGAGGTTATTTTTTAGCGCAAGTAAAATAAATAGTATCAGGTTTTGATCCTTAGGAGGAACCACGCAAAACCGTTCTTTAGCATATCTTGTTTTTAAGACTCCAAGTCTCCATTTTCAAATCACTGGGTCTAGAGCCAGGCTCCAAAATATATCTTGACGCATGCAGCCAAGCAATCATCTTTCTATGGGAAACCGCTGAGCACCTGCTGCTGCTCCTCCTGACGCCCTTCTCATGGCAAAGTCACTTCTGCACGGGCCAAGCACCTCCATCTGGCCTCAAAGAACTTTCCAGAACCTGAGAGCAACTGAGGAAGGCCCAGCCCTAGACATCAGCATGGATGCCTTAAGCTGGGGTGGCTCTGGGAGCTCCAGCTGCGGTCCAGGCACGCAGCTAGCGCAGAACAAAAAGACAATCACTGTGTCAGAGGGCTCACACTGGATGTGCCAGACTCCACATTACACTCTCAAAAGGCTAAAACAACGCTCTGGCAATTAGCACGTGTAAAGCCCTCAGCTATTTATATCCTAGGAAATAGCTTGGATTTTATTATTTTTGGGTTAAGCCATTCCAAACGGCAAAGCAGCAGTTATTTGTCTGCCATCTATTGATGTGCTGTCTTGATCTCTAATCGAGGCCGAGGGGGATACATTTCCACCTTTAATCCTTCAAACTTTCTAATGCTTTCATGTACAAATGTATACAGTAACTTGGCATTAGCATTCCACAAATATGCAAATTGTCTGTCAGATTGGACAGGCTGCATGCATTTGAAGTTGTGTTGACAGCCTACAGAAAAAAGACATTCTCAGCTCAAACATGAACAAGATGTTTATATCCTTTTTCCCTAAAAACATACATTTTATGTTTTAAGCAGAGATGGGAGCAAACTGCAAAATTTGGATCAAGACATCTTTTGCACCCATAAAATTTGGGGATGTCTGCATCAGGGGATTTTGATTCAGCTGGCTCTTGGAAAGGGGAAATTCAGCTCAGATCTGGCTTATGTTCCAGCCTTCACAAAATACAGTGGGAATTTGCACATGAGCCTCTGTTTCCAAGTAGGTTAACGCATAAAAGAAGCAGCTCAGAAGGTGTCATTATACTC